CAGAGGAAGAGCCTGCCCCAGGAAAGGCAAGCTGATGATACAGGCAAAGGGGGTCTGGAGGCCTCAGGAGAAACCAGCCTGCTGGCATCAGGAACAGACACCCAGCACTGGCACTGAGACGTGTTGAGAGCCTCCCAAGAGAGCAGGAGCAGACGTGGAGCCCAGGGCAGGTACACTGAGAGGTGCCCATCAGACCTGCAGCTGTCCCTTTTATTGACTGGCACAGACCAAGGAGGTTACTCCAAGTACCCAGACCCCGCCCGCCAAGGCAAGAGCCAGCCCACCACTGCCATACTGCTAGGACCCCAGGGCCCCCTTAGACCCAGCAGGCTTTTTGACTAGCATTGCAGGAGCTATGCCTTGGTGCAGACACCTTTCAGTTCAGAATCTTTGGTGCTAACTTTACTGTCCTCTCATTACCTTTGTACTTGGCAAATATCTGGGCAGACACGACAAATCAAATCCCAGCACTCAGAAGACTGAGACTGAAGTCAGCCTGGGCTACCTAGGGAGACTCTGCCTCTAACAACAAGAAAATCAAACCTAAGCACTTGTCTTCATACCACAAGCCAGACTCAGCTCAAACCATGAACATACACCTCCACTGGGGCAACTCACCTTGGTAAAATAGCACTGGTTATTTTGCAAATGTGATGGTTGCAACTTCCTCTGAGTTTATCTTAGGGGTCCTTTGCTAAAGGAGACTGTGCTTAAGTGGCCTACCAAACTCTCTGTCACAGCAGCTGTAACCCTGCCGCCCCTGGATTCGGAACGCACTTCTGGCTGAAACTGTGCCTGCCCCATTTAAATTATGCCCTACGTGTTTAGTGCATAGTTTTCATATGACTCATATTCTACTAGAAAGTGCACGAAAGCAGACTCAGCAATTCCTCAGCTGGCTTGGAGGCTACTAGCTCTCCCTGGCTCTGACTCAAACTGCTGTGAGCACCTCCAAGACCTAAGATCTAGGATCAGGCACCATGCAGATGGGAAGCAGCGTGCAGGCAGTGACTCCACTTATTCCCTGGCAATTTTGCCAACCTTTACATACAACTCCTACCCCGCCCTCAGGAACCCACTCCTAGGGTTCCTGAGCTCTGGAAAGTGGTGTGACCCTACTAGGAGCAGTTGGAGAACAAAATGGTTTCTCTAGGCTGCAGAATGCCATTGATAGAATATTCCTCCTCTAAATGTGAATCAAATCTGAATGCAAGAGTGCTTTCACTCTATCTGTTTTGGAAAACAAAACCTAAAGCCAGTGGTACAGATCTGACAGCAGGGAGCAAAACCTGCAGGTCTTAGCAGCGGGCAGGCGAGACTCAAAGCCAATCTGAGAGAAATAGCCAGAGAAATATATTAGATGGCACACTAAAAGAGATGTCTCTCCCAGGGACTGTTAAACTATTAGGAGACACATCTATCATTTTTAATCTGGTTAATGGAATGGTCAAGCTCAAAATCATATGTAACACTTCTTGAAGAAACTACACATCAAAATTGCATTTCAAAACTATTGTTTAGAGAAATAACATTTCTTACTTGAAGAAACAATCACCTCTGGCTCACAGGAAGCCCACAGTGCACAGAGGTCTTCCCACAGTCTGGTGTAGGAACAGGAGGGAATGGCTCTCCTCCCAGTGCTTGCTAGGTCCACTGACTAGGTGAGGCCTGGGAACCCAGGTGTCCAGCAGGACGCAGCAGAGCCCGACCTTGGCCTGGACTGGAGACCCTGTCTGGAGCAGGAGGGTTCAGACTAAGCCTACCCTGTGGAGCTGACAACTATTTCTACTTCTATAAGAGTTATATGGCTAGAGACCACCCAGCAGCTACCGTCTACTACAGCAATCTCCCAACAGCTTGGCCATTTCTGACTTATCTAAGATGGGCCTCTTCAGTGTGCAGCCCGAGTGCAGAGGCTAGGAGGATGGGGCCGACTCGCGCTGAGGGCTTCACCCTCTGCCTCTGTCCACCTCTGACTTTCCTTTCCAGGCTGCCTCACCACGGCTTCAGCTCACAGCCCTCTGCAAGCTCCAGGGCAGTTTCTGCGCAGCTGTTAGTCACCACCACCCCATGAACAACTGGGCCACCAGTACTGCATGGCCTTTCCCAACACATCCCTCCAAACCTGGCTGACTGGCCAAGGGTCGGGTCCTACTGCCCTGAGGTGGCCCCACTGACCACTAGGCACTCTCCACGGGGCTTGTAGCAACGCTGACTGACTGTGACCACTGGCAGGACTCACATCAAGAGCTCTGACATGCTCTTCTTCACTTTATAAGGGCAGCTCAAAGAAGGTCAAGCAGAAGATAAAAGTATGGACAAGCCAGGTTCCAGGGGTTCACACCTAAAATCCTAGCTACTTAGGTGGTTGAGCTATGAAGACCACAATTTAAAGCCAGCCCAAGCATGAAAATCCTTGAGATTCTTTGTTCTAATTAATAACCAAAACACCACAAGTAGAGGTGTGGCTTACATGGTAAAGTGCTAGCCTTGAGCAGAAAAAGCTTAGGAAGAGTGAGTGCCCAGGCCTGAGGTCAAGCCCAGGACCAGAATACACACACACACACACACACACACACACACACACACACACACACTTACAGACCATTCTTGCATTTGGTAAAAATAAGGGTCTGGTTGTGTTCTTTTGTATGTAGTCAGTATGCTTTTGGGGTAGAAAACAATGACCTGATTTCAAAACTGTGTGCAAATGCAAAGGTCCTAGGAAGAACAAGGTTAGAGAGCTGAGCTACTCAGCCAACTCAAGAACAATTCTAGAAGCTGTTGTGGTTATGTCAGGAGGTAAAGGTCAACAAATGGTTACTGGGGAAAACAGAATTTAGACAACTCAATGTATATGTGAGCAATAGGCCTGTGACAGAATGCAAAGGAGAGAGCATCACCTTGCAGCAAATGAGGCTGCACTAACAGATTATCCACATTAAAAATAATTAATTCCAATCCAGACCTTCATAGACAGAACAATACCCTAATAGTCCATGAGGAACATCCTAAATAGATTCTATCATGGTATTTTAAATGATCCCAGGATGAAATGGAAAGATATCCTTAAAGCTAATGTAAATGTTCTATCTGAGACAGGACTCCATTTAACTAAGGTCCTACAAAACAAGGCATTCTACAGTCAGAAGGCCAGGGTCACACCTCAGAAGGAAGAGTTGAGTCCAAGCAATGGCTGAAAGAGCTAGAGGCCAGGCTTGCACAAATACATGCTTCTTGTAACTTTTTCTCACTCAAATTAGCCCCCTAATTTGTACAAATATAGTGTTTTAAAAAATTGTTTAAGGTGGGGCTGGGAAGGTGGCTCAGTGGTAGAGCACTTGCCTTGCATGCTCGAGGCCCTGGGTTCGATTCCTCAGCACCACATAAGAAAAAAGCCGAAAGTGGCGCTGTGGCTCAAGTGGTAGAGCACTAGCCTTGAGCTGAAGAGCTGAGGGACAGTGCCCAGGCCCAGAGTTCAGGCCCCACGACTGGACCCCAAAAAAAATTGTTTAAGGTTATGTTATCAATGAAGAGACACTTATTTCTTTCCATTAAAAACAAAAAAATTGGCCAAGCAGAAGCTCAAACCTATAATCCTAGATACTTGGAAGGCAGAAATTAGGAGATAGGGGTTTGAGGCCAGCCAGGCAAAAAAAAGTTGAGATTAAATCTCAAGCAATGGCTGAGTGTTATTATGTACCTTTCATCCCAACAATACAGGCAAGCACAGGTGCGGAGCGTGTGAGGTAAGGTGCAGAGAAGCACAAGAGTATTTCAGTCTAGGCCAGTCAGCGCATAAATTGAGACCCTATCTCAAAAGTCAACCAACATAAAAAAGACTGGTGGGGTGGCTGAAGTGGTAGAATGCCTGCCTAGCAAGCGCAAGGCATTGAGTTCAAAGCCAGTACCACCAAAATGCATAAATAAAAATGAAACAAGTTTTTCATAGACACAGAACCTAAGTCAGAGAGAGAGAGAGAGAGAGAGAGAGAGAGAGAGAGAGAGAGAGAGAGAGAGGGCACAAGCAAACCCATTGAGTATTAACTTGTAGTCTCCATGAAAGTTGCTGTCAGTGGACATGCAGTACTGACTTCTATTCTAAGCCAGCCTAAAACTGAACAAATGCTGGGACTGATGGCTTACAGCCATTTTGATGACTTAGAATGCAGAACTGTCTTCCAGCTCACACAGGTACGTACAGTCTCCTGAACAGCCACAGTTAGCTCCGTTTTAAGCATGCTTTCAAGTTTACTAAGACTGCAGCATTCCACGCACAATCTGTCACCCAGTGACAAAAACATTTAGCCAGGTCTCTGAGGCAGAGGCCTTCCCCAGCCATTCCTCGTACAGCAAGGGCTGTCCTGACATGAGGACTAGAGTCTCGTCATCCAAGGACCCAAGGAGGGTGGCCACAGATAGTCACCAACCCAGTGACGCTCATGGTTCTCATCCCACACTGCAGCTCAAACTGGAGAGAGTAGCAGCTGGTCTCACATTGTCAGTTAATGCCATGGTCACCTCCATCTGCTGGCACGGGCACCTTCGTGACACATCTGCCCTCTGCCCAGCCTTTTGTCCATCTCTACACCGCTCCACCCAGTACTATAACCATCCTTCATCCACTACCATGGCCAGCACCCAGCTACCCTACCCCAGGGCCAGGGTCACTTTGACCGCTGACAATGTGCATGTCAGCAGGCTCAACAGATGTGTGAGGGGTACACTGTGGAGACTCTGAAATGCCCTCTCTAGATTCTGAGCAACTTTCCCCTCTAATTTAGTGTCCTGAATGGGAGCCTGCATCACCCTGACTGTCAAATCTCCAAAGGGTGGGGAACTGTGCTCTACCTGATCACTGTCCAATCACCAGTGGACAAGTGACACCAACAGCACTGAGAGGAAACATACAATTTCTCCTCAGAACGTGTCCTATTTCCTCTCCCCAGCCTAAGAAAACCAGGTTTGCAATAAAGACAAAAACAACCAATGATCAGTACCTGTGTCAGAAGCTGATCGGATGCCAACTGGTTGATCCAACGTGTGTATCGCTCAGTAGAGTTTGGGGGATCTCTCTGCACTTGGCACCCTATGATCTGTAAAACAACAATAATTAAAACCTACGATCTTGTGATCTTTTATGAATATGTTTCATGCTATTTTAAGTATATAATATCTATACACCAAACTCAAATCTGTGTGACCTAGGTTGAGTTAGGTCAAAAGGAGGGGAGGGGGAACACTAGACTGACTCACTCACATGGGGGTCTTGAGTAGTTTCTTGGTAGCAAATGGCTAGTGTTGCCCTCAGCCTGATTGAGGGCAGTTAACTCAGTGGCTACTAGGAATGAGTTGGGTATGACAACACGCTAAGTAATGATGAGTTGGTATTATAGCTCATACTTCCGATAGCACGGCCTCCTCTGTCCAGACGCTTCTTCTTATTGGCCACAGCAGCACCTCAACACCCACGACTTCCTGACCAGGAACAGATCGCATAACCCACCTCAGCTGTGCTTCATCCCCTTAGAACATCTCATTCCACCTCAGAAGGCATCTCCACCTCAAAATTCAAGTGTCTCCATTTCCTTAGAACCCATCTCCAACTCCCAGAAAACATCCTCAGAATGCAGCATATCTCTCCAGAACATATCCCCACTGCAGAAGGCATTCCTGCCTCCTTTAGGGTTATCGCAATCTCCTCAGAATACAACTCTTAGGACACATCCTAACGTCAGGGTGCACACTCAGACCCCCAGAACATGTCCCCGCTTGCGTCTCAGAATGTACAGATTCAGAACAGGTTCTCCTCTCTATCTGAGAACACAACCCCATCATCTCAGAACATGGTCTCCCGTCAGAATAAGTCCCCATTTCCTCAAACTACAGCCCTGTTACAGAACATGTCCCCATCTCCTCCTGCGTAACTGGTATACTCCTGCCATGGGGCTCATGCCGTAACTGCCAGTCCTCTGCCCTGTGCCAGTACGTGAGCACGACCCGAGGTCCACACAGGGATTGGCCTCTATTTACAGGCCCCTTTGACCATTTAGAGGGCTTGATCCTCACCTCTGAGCACCTTGGAAGTGTTCAGACCTACAGCAGGTAAATCCTGCAGAAAGTGCAGGTGGTTCATCTAGAATATGGTTCCAATGGCTGGGGCTATTGCCAGAGGAGGTGAAAAACTGGAAGGAAAGGGAGGGAAACGAAGTCAGGTTCAAGGCCAGAAGGCTCAGAGCCAGCAGTATTAAAGGCCATGGAAGCCAACAGTTTATGTGACACCATCCAAAATGATATCTGATAGGAAGCAAAAAGAGGGAGTTACAGGGCCACTGACAGATGTATTCTGAGGTGGGGCTGTGACCTGAGGGGATGGATGCACCTTCGTGTGGGATACAGGGCCATGTTCTGAGGGGGTGAGGATCTGCAGGATCATTTCTGAACCACCATGAGCTGCCCAGACTGCTCTATCAGTGAACCAGCTGCTGTCTCTAGGAAGGCACTTGGGGAAGGTAAGCAGAGTATTCCTCATGCCATGGCCTCCCAACCCCAGGCAGAACTGCAGCCATGGCACTCAGTCGCCTGCCTTTTGTGACACCATTCCTTTTCCCTCGAGAACCAAGGACACCGTCAGCCAGTCTAGTACTCGGGTAAGATTGAATCCCTCTGGGACCTTCTAACTCTCTAAGGGTATTACTAATTCTAACCCAGGCATGCATGCAAAGTGACTACTGACCTGGTTGTGGGGCTCACAGAGTTGGGGCATCCATGTGTTCAGACAGACAGACCCCTTCACCAGGACTTCTTTGATAAATGTACAGCACAAGGGACCCAGAGCCAATACTGTGAAGCCCAAGTGCTCTGACTAGCTGACTTTTCCTTTTCACCTGGGCCATCAGAACATCTACATTTATCCAGCTTTTGGCATAACTAACACATCGGACTTAAATGGTCAACTGTGGTGTGTGGGACACAGGGCAGGGGAAAATCTACTCCAGGCACAGCTGGCCTGTGACTGGCATGAAGGACAGAACACATATATGTACACATATCAATAGCCTACAGAGAGACATAACACATACATACTTAGTATAACTCTATCCACATATACACAAAAGTACTATGCATGCAAAATGCCTCAAAACTGCACATACAATGTGCATATGTTCCATGCACACAACATACTTGTATGACAATGCAGATATACAATATATACACACCTACTGGGGGTGCCTGCGTGCCAGCTCCACTCAACTTTAGGAATTAGAGCATGGCACAGGGGAGGGTGGCTTATATAGACACTGCTTGTGTCTATTTCTTGCCTTATTGTTCTGGCTAGGAGTTCCAGAATCATACTGAAAAAGAGTGGAGAGAGTGGACGTCCTTTTAAAATTCACAGAATGGTGCATGAGGCCCTGGGTTCGATTCCTTAGCACCACAGCCAGAAGTGGCGCTGTGGCTCAAGTGATACAGCGCTAGCCTTGAGCTGAAGAGCTGAGGGACAGTACCCAGGCCCAGAGTTCAGGCCCCACGACTGGCAAAAAAAAAAAAAGACCAACCAAAAAAAAAAAAAAA